GTGGCGAAAACCGCAAGTCTCTATCTTTATAAATAGTTGAGATACACTGCAGTCTCAACCAAAATAGAACACGCGGTATACACTAAAAAGACTTTTTTTCATTTTAATTCAATACATAGTAGTTTCGATTACATAACGCAACTAAACCCCTCAGTTACGGCAATGAAATTAACAAAAATTGTTAAAGGGTAACGCCATTTTTAACAAAAATATTTCTTGAGACCTCGCTACGCTCTACACAGTATACACTGTGCCCAAGATAAGAAAGGGTGAAAGAAATTTGGTTAAATGGGAGAAACGTTGCACAATCAAAGGTCTAAAAAAAAGCGTTTAGAAATCCCCGAAAGTTGTTTAGGTTTTTGAAATATTTTGAAAAAAACAGATATTTTGGATTTTGCAAACTATTTGACCTAGAAGAAAACCAATGACACTTCCCTACAACAATGCGCAGCTTTTTTTCCTGGTTTTTTCATTAGAAAACATAATTAATGTATATAATTATTATATAGTTAATTATTGTCCAAAAAGTACACCTCAATATCACCAAGAAAAAAGTATGCTTTGGAAAACAAATGAATATGGTAATGACGTATTTGAATTGACAGTAACGTTGGTTTTTACACATATTAGTTTGGTGTTTAATTTGTTGTATAATAATTACCTACCTAGTATGTTTTCTATTATCGAAGAAAAGTTGGACATGATAGCATGGCATGGGCAAAGTTTCCTGAAACGTATTAGCAAATTACTGGCAATGAACCCAGTGGCGTAACTAGGTAGGTGCCGCGGCACCGCGCTCTGAAGGGGGAGGGCGCGCCGGAGGCGCTGAAGCACCGAGGGCACTAAGTCGGGATGGGCAGTACGTGATGTACCGTATAGGTTAGTCATAAAAGACAAGAACGGCAGTTAAATTCTAATAGTTTGCTAAAGTCGACTACAGGGTGCGCTGAAATCGAGGCTGAAATATAATGAAAACTAAATTTACTCTCCTTTAGGATGAACGGAACATTGTTAAACATTTAAATAATTATCAAAGTCGCCGTGTGAGATCCAAGGCACTTTTGTGTGGCAGATCAGTACTTTTATTAGCCAATTTTGACTCCACAATCAATAAGATCTTGTCGGGGGCCACCATATTCCCTTTGTCGGTACCCACTTCTGACGCCCCCACAGTCTGCGGATGTATACAAAGTTTGAATCAAAACACTTGTACCACGCTATGTTAAGTGCCTCAATATGAATGGCGACTATATTGAAAAACAGCCTAAGAGTGTATATAATAACAGTTGTTTCTTACACTTTCTTAATTTTTTATTTCAAAACGTCTGTTACTTTCTGAATGGCCCTTGTAGAACAAAGTTACAGCGGTAGGAAAAGGCTGCAAATTTAAACTAATAATAATAATACTTTATTTGTGATCTATACAATAGTCTGTATTAGTGTGACCAGCATTTGTACCCTTATTCTAAGACGCAATCATTTCTCCGACTTGTACCCTACGTCATAGCTAAATTTGACGCGAGAATTGAAAACATGATAAATAAATGTATTTCTATTCTTCGTTGAGTGAAAGACTTCGTTATTCAAAGCATTATTCTAAAATTTAAGTAGTTCAGTGCTTTTAAAATTTCGTGTAAAGTTTCTCTCAAAAATGTACAGTGTTTTATTACTTAGAGCTCAATGGTAACTAATAAGGCGCCAAAACCTGATCCGGCACCGTTTCGAAAAATACCTAGGTACGCCACTGAATGAACCTTAAAGCATATGGTACTTTTAAGAAGCCTGTAGTTTCTCGATGCAAGAGTGACAATGAAGAAACGGTACAAAATGTTTTGCTGCCCATCACCGAGAATCCCAGTACATCAAGTGGACGGATTGAACAAAATGTTGGTACACCTAAATTAACAACACATTGTATGTGTATTTTACAAATAGAAACATTACATCCGTATAAATACCGAATTTGTCAAGGACCAGGTGACATAGAAAGACTTTGCTCATTCTGCCAATAGTACACAAGAGAACATGATATTTCTTTATCAAATAATATGGTCAGATTAGACTGTGATACGAATAATGGCATTTACAACAGACGAAGTGTCCACCATTGGTCTGGAACCAATCCACGTTTTGTAAGGGTTAGTCAGGAGACACGCAAGTCGTGACTCCACCATTCTAAAAAAAATACTTAAACGTACCAATTAACATTATTTCATATAATATACGGTACATCCTGTATATAAATTATGTACATAATCTATTCTCTGGTACCGGTAAATTTAATATGACCCCAAAACAAACAAACTAGAAGGGAATTCTAAAGGGGAACAACTAAGTACAAATACAATAGTGACAAATCGTGAGGGCAGATTTGCAAAAAGACCACCCGCGCAAAAGTCACTAAAAATATACACGAGATGGCGGGTCATTTTTACATTATATTGTTCCATTCTAAGTTTGTTTATTTTGTGCATACGACGGTGACAGGACATATTGTGCGGGAGTTTATGTGAGCTGTGATGCTTTATTTCGGTGGGTATCTGTAATTTCTACTGGTGCCACTTTCAAATCTCGGTAGGGTTCGGCTGGGACGGAGAGGCACGAATGAGACTCCTACGTTGTGGAATCGGTTCTTTTATTAGAAAATACACACATAAAACATGTCAAATTGTACAATAGAAATGAGATAATCGAATCAAATGCACCATAGGTGTAGATTATCACAGCACTCAACTTGGCCTTCATTTTAGCCAGTGTCATAAAAGAAACGTCGACACATCGCTATTGTAAGTTGGACAAAGTTTAAATAAACTGATTTACCTGCAATTTCCATGGATGATGAAGAGCAAGAAAAACCAGAAAGGCAAGAAGAAATGGGTTCACGACATTTTAAATAGGGGAAGACCGAAGTAAAATTTTTCCACTTTTATGAAGGACTTTTAGTGTTTCTAATTTAAATACCTACTTACAACGTCCATTGGACGTATTAGAATTAACATACTTAATATGAAAAGTAATTTAAAGTGGTGCACAAATCGACGGAACACTAATCAAAACATGTGGTGCGGTCTGGGTCCTCAAGTGACGTCACTACACGCGACGAAAAAATTCCATGATTGAGCTGGTACTTTCGATACAAGGATTGCAGGACCATTTATTTGTTTACCATCGCTACGTACATGTACTGCAAAGCGATTTATAGGATGATCTTGATAATAAATGCCCCTAGCGATAATTTGCAACTGTCGGATACAGCAGGATGGTGCACCTGCACATAATTCTAGAGTCGTTCGGGAATATCTGTCAGTGAGGTTTCCACAAATGTGAATAGAACCCATATAACCACGCTTGAATCGTGTTCTGCAAAATTTTTCAACGGGAGAACAACTTCTGGAAGCTCTTGCTACCATTACTCCACAAATGCTGACTAGAGCGTTAGAATCGAGGGTGAGACGATACTATCTGTGTTTAGAAAATAATGGAACATATCCTCTAAATTTAGTTTATTATTCTAATTCCTAAAAAAATTTTGTACAGGTCCGTCATAGGAATTTTCTTAATTAAGTCTCAAAAAACCGCAATTAAACCGTAACATGCTATAGGTACATCATTGAATTCACAATAAAACGGGCTTTAAGAATATGATACCGGAATATCAGGGCCGTATTTAAAAAAAATGTAGTTGATGGTTCCGCAAAGTCGAAATGTCGGATTGAAAAATTAACACCTTAAAGAACGTTAAAAATTGCAGTGTTATTTGTTTTGCTATAGGTCAAATATTAACGTCGGAAAAGATAGTTCGTAAAATCGAAAAAACCAATTTTTTCAAAATATTTCAAAAACCAAAAAATGGTCAGGGACGTCTAAACGCAACTTTTCTCTCACAATTTTTCAAAGCTGTCCACAATCCCCAACTTGAAAATTCTAAATGCGACACCCTGTATTTTATTTGATTTTTAAATTCTAAGTTATATTCTGAGATAAATCTATTGAAGATAGGTCTATAATATCTTTAATCGTTTTTGAGATAAAGATTAAGAGATAAAAGATATTGCTTTATACCTTCAGTGTGAGCAGTAACAAATGAAAAGCGCATTTTAATAATTATAAAAGTGTAGTTGGCCATACAAAAACAAATGTGTTACTGTCAAACGTCACATTATGATTTAATTCTATTTTCAACATGTTCAACTCACAATATGGTCTACAGTGAAACAGAGACATTCCAAATCTGTTTCCATTTATGTAAATAAAATGTGCCAACTTCTTGCCGAAACAGCTTCCTTCCGCGAGTGTCTTCAGAAAATGGTAAGTGTGGGGAAAAAACGTTTCCCACGAAAGTTTATTACTTTTCGATGTAGAATGGAAATGTTCAATACATTCCGGGGTTTCTGTTAGAAAAAATTAGTTACCCTACGTTTGGCTCTTAAGGGGCATTTATGTGAATACCTGCACAGCATCATTAAATGGACCCCCCATATGAAGATTTTATATGAATCATTTTTTGATATCCCCGCTAGTTTCCGTAATGATCGACTGCCGTTCTGTATATAAATTAACATTCAAATATACGATTACGGAATCATCCCCTGAAACTGATATCTTTTATAGCTTCAAAACTATCGTATATTGTATTTGAATCATGATACGTTCGCTGGTAAATACCTGCCCTACGTTGTTGCGACTTCACGCGGTTTTTTTACTCGCGCTAGGAAGCTAATGAGAACAAAAGTGCAACAAGAAGGGAATATTTACAATTATATCCCGATCGTCAAGCACCAAGCCTTAACACTACTTAAAATTCAACAGCCTTTATCTCGAAAACGCCAAAAAATATAGATCTATCTTCTATAGATTGTGTTGTGGTCCTGATGAATGATAGGTGTTGTGGTCCTATGCTATAGGTGAACGATAGAACCTTATACTTCTTGGCTGTTGGCCAACAGAAGTCGACTGAATTTTTTACGCTGATGCACTCCTTTTATGCCATGTTTCAGCAGTTGAAAACGCGGTTAACGACTACGCCGATCCTGTGTTTTCTTAGATTGAACGGGGCATTGGTGGATGATTCTTGGCAGCCAGTTGTGTTGGCATCTGAACAAGTAACTGATCCGGATTTGAAACCGATTACTGAGCGGAAAAAAATAAACGGCGACCCGATTGGCAAGAGGTAGCACCTGATTCTCCCAATGTTGAGGCGCAATGGGATTTGCTGGTGATTGTCAATGATCTTCTAACTAAAGCGTATCCCGGAGAGTGACAATGGACAACAACGAAGGTCATAGTTGTGTATTCCGAGGAGTAGAGTTCCAAAAGTCTTGAAACAGCTGCACGAGGGAATTTGTTCACTTTCTAACACTGCACTATACTTAACTGGAACGCCGCTTGGGGGTCTCTGCCATAGAAACGTAGCGCGGCGAGAGAGATAAGTGCAAGGGGGATTTCTGTCACTGTCATTCATTGGGCAACTGATAATTAATATAAATTCAAAACATATCAAATAGGCTGCTCTATACATGAGCGAGAGTGGGACAGAGATCCGCCTTGTGGCTCTCTCTCTCGGATCGCGCTAGTCGACGGAGCGCGCATTCGCATTCCAGGTAGAAATTTTTAATCGGCCATATTTCAAGATCTTTGAAAGCATATCGATCCGCTGTACAGGGTGGTCTAAATTGGACACTTTCTTATGGAAACACCCTTTATTTGAAGAGATAGAAAAAAATGGACCTAGGCATTTGGAGCCCAATTTTAAAGAGAAAATTACTGGCGCAAACCGAATTTAGCTATCACTAATCGTTTGGCCGCTAGAGGGCGTTTCTCGATTTATGTAGTCGATGTCTTTGGTGCCCCATAACTTTCGTAGATAATTGATTTTGACAAAATCTTGCTGAGAGCACTCTTTTATGTAGAATCCATTGCGATACACATTTTTATACAGGGTGTTTTGAAAAAATTCAAACGAAATTACAATTTGAAAATATCTCAATGACAGAACAAAATACGGCCTGCTTGACTTTTAGTTCCACGTACTTGATTGATATGTTAAATTAATAAACAAAAAATTCTGTGCAACAATATGTTAATTTAGAGGACTAGTAGTGAAAAAATTGTATATATACCACGGTAGAGAAATCTATTATTGCCTTCGCCCCTTACACCTCTCGGGATGTGGTGATCTTGGTGCTCAGGTAGTAATAATAATAATATAATATACTATTATTGTAGGCATCTAGGTTTCCATGGCGAACAAAAGATGGCAGGATTGTTTAAAACGGCAATTTCTTAGTTCCCTGTATTAATTATTTACATATGACTTACTTGAATTATTCGCACTTGTTTTCACGGTCTCTGTTTGTTGTGTGTTATTTGAAAGTTTAAATATTTGGAAACTAATAAACATTTCCAAATAACCAAGAAATTGCCTTTTTGCACAATCCTGCCATATTTTGTTCGCCATGGAAACCTAGATGTGTGCAATAAAGTGATGCATCTAAATTTAGGAAATTTTACGCTTTTGTCAAAAACTCCAAAATATATGAAAAAATATAGTTTAGGGTCGTATAAAAAAAACCAAACACCCTATATAAAAACTATCGCAATGGATTCTACATAAAAAAGTGCTCTTAAGAAAGATTTGGCCAAAATCAATTATTTTTAATAATAAGAAAATTATGGGGCATTAAGGATATCGACTAAATTCGAGAAACGCCCTTTAGCTGAATTTTGTTGGCACCAGGGATGTTCATTTTAAAATTGCGCTCCAGGTCCATTTTTTTCCTATCTCCTAAAGTAAAGGGTGTTTCCATAAGAAAGTGTCAAATTTGGACCAACCTGTACACGAAAGAAACTAGGAGGGTCCATACAAGGTTGTGAAATGAATCAACGACCTGGTGTACCGGGTTAATAAGATGCCCAATGGTAAACCGAGAGTGGTGCATTTTAAAAGACTGGCACCCTTTGCTGGAGACAACAACCAACTAGGGCGAGCTCGCATACTATTGGGTATAGAAAAACCAGAGACATTAGAGCAGGGAGTTAAAAGGTGTGGAAGTCCTGGTGTGTAACTATAACAATGGGTTCGATTTATCCAAGACTTGTGGATTGTTTGTTCTCCAAGGATGGATATTGTTGTAAATCTGCAACCTTCATGATCTTCGGTTCTAAGGAGGGGGCAATGTAACGATCAATTGAGTTTGATTGTGTAGACAAGAATTTTTAATATGTTCGTTTCCTAGTAAAGTCCTGTTTTATCACGATTCGGGTGTTTGACTTTGAACACAAAATGCTGATTGCTGTCCCTTTCCTCATCCGATTTTTTGGCAGAAGTCAAAGAGCTAAATCCTTTCCCTTTACTCAATGAACTGTAAAATTACTTAAAATCGCCTATTTGTCATAGCTTTCAAGTTATTTGGGTTTGCGATTTCGCAGTGTAATTCTTTGAATCGCTGCAATCTTTCCGAATTATGTCGCACCCCAATAACATTTCCGAATGCCTAAATTTAATCGCAATGTAAAATGGCAGATTTTAATTACTCCTTGTTTAAACTCTGTAACATTTGATTTTATTACCATCTTCCTGTCACGATGTCAACCATGACGATAATAATTGGCCTTTCACATACCTCTCGAGTTCTTTGACCATTTGTGGAATGAAACGAACATAAAACCACCCCTCGAGTTTACTCCAACACCTTGAGGTTTCTTCATTCCACAACAAAATATTAGATTAAGTTCAATCTTTTCACATTTCCGTAGTGATGTCATTGATTAACACTTTTTGTAGGTCATTTTCTAGCCCATTAAATGCAACCGGACACATTTTACTACAACGTGATTGCGGAATTTAAAATTCCTCAAGGTGTTTTATGAAATATTCACACAAGACTTCGCCAAAGGCAAGAACGGTTGAGGTCGCACACCGGCAACCTCTCGGAAACGTGACGTTTGTTATTTGCACTTTTTACAAGGAAGCTGTTTATGCAAATTACGCTGGCTGCTCTGCTCCGCCGTACGCAAATCGCCCATTTTTTAAACGTGGAGATTTTGTTTAGCTTTAACAACTATTATTAGAACTAATTTTAAGTCAACTACCGCTACTGCATACAAATTCCTGGCAACACGTCCGAAGACATTCCTCAAATTGTTAGTTTAAATGTGCGCTAAACACAATTTGGAATGATTCATTAACAATAATTGAATTTGTTGGTCGATTTTTGAGAAACTCATCATGACTAACGATCGAGCTAATTATGGAATATTCGAACATCCGCTTATTTTAAAATTACATCTGCGGGAATCTTTAATTAATTTCCTTCCTCTTTAATAATGTTATAAAAACTCCGCGCTGTTATCTCTACGGTGAGAAAATTTGGTGGACACGGCTAAAAATAACGCCCTGTAGGTCACGAAATGTCATCACGATGGGATGCGGAAAGTGAATTTAATTCAGACCAGCATCGAACGTCGACCTTGAAATGGTTTTCAAGGACGCCCTCCTAAGAATTTCACTGTTACATTGACGCGTATAACCCATACACCTTGCCGTGTAGTTTAATAATAATCACCGGTTTATCGGATCGATTAATTTTATTTGTATAATGGCGCCGCTTTTATATTTGCATGTATAAGAATGGGCACGGCCGTTAATTGTTGCCTTAGTCACTTTGTCAACATTAATTTCCCCTCGAACATTTCAGTGCCGCGTGCCGCTAACTCCAACGGGAAAAAGTTCCTTTCAATCATGAATCGTCTGCAAATTTGCAGTTCTTCTGCTACGGTATGGTTCTCCGAATGCTTAGAGAACTTGATATTCTCGGCCAATGTTGTGACATTTTGAAAAAGTCAAAAATCACTATCCCGGCCAAATTCACGGAACCGCACACTTTCATAAATTAATGTTTTCATTAGAACATTTTAACACATGTTAGTTGACATTACTACTAATTATGCACATTTTAGCGCTTAGTAGAAAATGAGCAAATGCAAAAATTCAGCACTAATAAAAATTGAATTATTTTAAAACCACTTCATAAATTCTTTTTATGCAAAAATTAAGCTCTAATTATGCGCCTTTGTATATTGTTGGAATAAAATGTTGTACCCTAATTCTGTCCCTTAAAAAAAAGTTTAGCAAGATACTTTCAGATCTTGTAAAAATTTTCAAATTTAATTTTAGTACAGCTCAATAAAAAAGATTAATTAAAATCTTTCTATTTTTAGGTTTTGTTAACGGTAATGGTTCTTGCAAAGTAGCACGTTGTATCAAATTTCCTGTTAGTACAGAGATCTCGCATATTAGCATAGATACAGAGTTGGTTAAATGGACAAAAATGATCCTCGAGTTTTACCTAAATAAAATCAAAAAACAAAATTTACATTCTCTCTAAAGTTTCCTAAATATGGCGAAAAACAACATAATTGACGTTTTTGATTTTTGTCGTTATTTGGGTAGGTATTTAAAAACCAAACAAACTTTCTTTAGGGAACCGTTTCTGTTCTTTTAGATAATTAAAAATCATTAATAATCAAAATCCTCCGACACTATTCTGCAGATATTTGCACTGAAAGGTTTGACATCACCAATAGATTGCCTTTCATGAGTATCCTCTTCCGACACTTCGTTGTCAAAGTATTTGCTTCAACTTCACCAATATACAGGGTGAGTTTTTTTTTCATTTTAAGCATTAGGATCTCGGAAACCGTAAGACATAGAGATCCGGTTAAATGAGGAAAGAGTTGTCGTTTTAAGAACTTATTCAAGATATGCTTTTGTTTTTTGAAAAAAATCCACAGTTTACTAGATATGAGCGAAAAACAGATCTAGTGATTTTTTCCGCCAAGGTAAATTTATTAATTTTCATTCTTCTTTTATAATTTTTTAAATGGCAACCATAGTTGTTTGTGACATTTTTAAAAAGTTCATTTTTTTCTGTTTACAATGATATAAGGTTCATTGTACTTTCTTTGACAAATAAACATAATACAGAACTGTTTGTATTATTAAGAGTAGTAAAAACAGATTTTGCCATGGGAAACATTTTTGTTCTCTTAATTACTCTGTCTATTATAATATTTAACTTAAAACTTTAGGGCCACAAATAGAACAACAACGAAAAGAAATTACGAAATATTACATTTAAATTTCTACTTTGAAGTAATTACAAGTAAAAAATTAACGCATTTATCTAGGTAAATGTTCAAAGTGCCCATCAACACAAGCGGCGTCTTTTTCGCGATAGAATTTACAGCTTTCTGTATTATCCTACCATCTAA